CTAGCACGGAGGGTGTTACATAGTTTTAGGTAATGAAACATCTGCAAAAAGGAACCAAGCTCCGAGAGTACCATGGACCCCTCATTGATGGAGCATTGAGAAATTGCTAATATACTGTACCTACACACTTTCTCTCATACACCTCTTGGATTCAAGATGAAACTCGTGAGTCCAGCTTTATGCATCATGTGATGAATGCACAGGTAAGAAAGTGACTGTTTTTTTCTTGGATTTGTCCCCAACAACTGGCCTTTCAGCAATGCTACCTATGAGCATCTCATCTCTGATACAACCCATTTAGAGTTAGCAGCACCCGATGGCCCATTTCTCCATGAATTTCACTAGGTCCTCTTCAGGTCCACCAAGTTAAGAGGACAGAGTCCATGCAACATGTTTATTTAATTAATGATTTCACCCATTTGGAGGGTTGTCCCATTATGTTGCATCATAAACTTCTAAAATGGGCTCGATAAGTTCAAAGCACTGAGCTTGAAGAAACATAATATTCAAGGTCCAACCTACCCAATCTAAACAGGCTTCTAAGTCTATACTTGACTTAGGACGCCATGTTGCATGGACAATTCCCAATAAGTACAATGGAAGCAACCTTCTCCCAGGACAGACCCTACCAAAGTATGTGTGGAGTGGAAATCAACAATGGCGTCATTGGAATAAACCTGGATGGTTCCCAACTGGATTCCAGTGTTGGGATGTATAGTGCCATGATGGTGAACCTATGGCATGTGTGCCACAGGTGGCATACAGAGCCATTTGAGCAGGCATGTGAGCCCCAGCCAAACATACCTGCACTGTGCATGCACGCACCTCCCAGCTGATTTTCGGCTTGTTTAAGGCAGTTTTCACCCTCCCAGAGGCTCCAGGGAAGTCTCTGCAGCCTCGGGACACCAAAAAATTCGGCATTTCAGAAATACCGGAAGTGCCTGTTTTCAGCCTACTGAAGGCATCCGGAACCCAGGGGAGGCTGTTTTTCGCCCTCCCAGGGGCTTGAGGGAAGCCTCTGCAGCCTCGGGAGGCTGAAACATGGGCCTTCTGGAAATACCAGAAGTGCTGGAATGGGTTTGTTTTCTATCGTGCACACACACACACACTTTTGGCACACCACTTTTGTGCAGGGGTTGGAGTAGAAGAATCATCAACAATGACGATTTGCAAACAGCACACAGGTCTAGAACAGAACCTGCTGGAGAAGACATGGTAGAAAAGAACCTTTTCAGATTTCATTTTTTGGAGGGGAGTGTTCCACTCTCCTTAGAGGAAGACAGAAGGCAGAGGGGTTCTAGCAATACTTACAATATCAGAATTGAAAGCTTTCACGTTGATGTTGCGGATGGAGCTGCTGGTGAGAGACCACACCTTCGTTTTGTGCTTAAAGGCGGCTCTAACCTTGGCAGGGAAGAGAAAGATGTCCCAAGTTAGGAAGACATGAGCTCTTGAGGCTACCTCGAAAGTCCCAATTTGCTCCCTTTCCGTCAGGTTGATTTGTTTTCCCTTCCTCATGGACAATTTTTTTTCCAGCACCATTGTAACTTCAAATGGTGCCTACCTAAATGGTCCTAAGTCAAGGACTAGCTCTCATCACTAAGGCAATGAAAAGAAGTATCCTCCAAAAAAGTTTCCCCTCTTGGTTACAAAGATATGTCCTTTGTTCATTCTTCTTCACCTTTACCTTCCACAAAGAAGAGGGAGTCAAGCTATTCTCCAAAGCACCTGGGAGCAGCACAAGAAGCAATGGGTGGAAACTAATCAAGGAGAGAAACAACCTAGAATTAAAGAGAAACTTCAAAGTGAGGACAATCAACCAGTGGAACAGGTTGCCACCAGAAATCGTGGGCACTCTATCACTGGATGTTTTTAAGAAGAGATTGGATAACCATTTGTCTGAAGTGGTGTAGGATTTCCTGCCTAAGCAGGGGGTTGGACTAGAAGACCTCCAAGGTCACTTCCAATTCTGTTATCCTATCCTATCCTATCCTATCCTATCCTATCCTATCCTATTCCATCTCCCAGGAGAAATGGAATTCCACCACTTAGGTCTACATGCTTCTGCAGAACTCAAATGTCACAGATTTCTCAAATAGATAACAGATAATCAGAGTTGGAAGGGACCTTGTAGATCATCTAGTCCAATCCCCCGCCCAAGCGGGAGACCCTACACCATTTCTGACAAATGGCAGTCCAATCTCTTCTTGAAAGTCTCAAGTGATGGTGGCACCCCTGCTTCCTTCAACCGACTTATCCCTCAACTCTTGGGATCAGATTGCTTCCAGTGAATTTGTCCTTAAAAAAACATACCTCCCGCTGAATGAAGCTCCGGCTGTGATACCTCCAGTTGAACCCAGAAGGGAAATTGACACGAAATATTTCAAATTACAGTTCAGAAGAGCAATTGTGTAGGGGTAAGGTAGCTCTGTAACGATGTTTGGCTGGAATTGTGTTGGTCTCTGAGAGATGGCTGATGGGTTAGACATTTCTGGATGAAGGATCAAAAAGAAAACACTAAATAGATCCGACTCCATGTCTTAATTGGTGTATCAGCCAGGAACAACTATTGTGGCACTCAATGGTGCTATGCGGGCAGTTGACTTAGAATAGCGATGTATAATTTTCCCCTATTGTCCAATTGGGATCGAAATGACCTTTTAATGAATACCTGAAATTGTCTCTATTATTTCGGTCTCTCTTCGGGGATGCTCACCAGCAGTAGAGAAGAAGAAATGAGATCTAAGTGAGCAAAAGCATGGAGAAGAAGGACGGGCGGTATCCAGGAAGAGGAAGAATCAGAAAAGGACATTTCTCTCTCATTGCCTTTCTTTGGCATCGGCGAGGTAGCTCATGTTGGCAAGAAGAGTAATGTTGGGCTAAAAGCTGTTTAAAAGGCTAGTTTTGGTGTGATGGGGAAGGCCTCAAGCTAAACAGTAGAGTGACAGGGCTGGAGGAGCTCCCAGACTGGGAAAGCGGACCCTTCAAAGTTCTTCCCTGGGATGTAGCTCACTTGGGGAGATAGCAAGGTCTTCCACATATTTTCACTTCAACTCTCAAGAACAGTGGAGGATCTGCGCTGCACATTTCCTATCTCTGGAATTACCAAAACATAGTTATGGGTTTGTCTAGGGAGATTCTCAGTCATCCAGGTCATGGTTGTCCCAAAGGTGCTTTTGCTAGAGGGAACTGGACTTTGTTTTTCATCGTAGATGTTTCGCTTCTCACCCAAGAAGCCTCTTGAGTTCTTCAGTCAAAACTAAAGTAGCTTCTTGGCTGAGAAATAAAACATCTTCAAGGAAAAACCAAGTCCAGTTGCCTCTTGAAAAAACAACTTTGGGACACAGTTATGGGTTCTTCCAATTTTTGCATCTACACCGGAAAGAGACATGCAGATAAGATAACAGATAATCAGAGTTGGAAGGGACCTTGTAGGCCATCTAGTCCAACCCCCCGCCCAAGCGGGAGATCCTACACCATTTCTCACAAATGGCAGTCCAATCTCTTCTTGAAAGTCTCAAGTGATGGCGCTCCCACAACTTCCGAGGGCAACTTCTGTTCCATTGGTTGATTGTTCTCACTGTCAGAAAGTTTCTCCTTATTTCCAGGTTGAATCTCTCCTTGTTCAGTTTCCATCTATTATTCCTTGTCTGGCCTTTAGAAAATAGCTTGACTCCTTCTTCCCTGTGGCAACCCGTCAAATACTGGAAGACAGTCCTTCATGTCTCCCCTGGTCCTTCTCTTCACTAGACTACCAAGCCCAGTTCCTGCAACCGTTCATTGTATGTTTTAGCCTACAGTCCCCTCAACATCCTGGTTGCTCTTCTCTGCACTCTTTCTAGAATCTCAACATCTTTTTTATAATGTGGTGACCAAAACTGGATGCAGGACTCTAGGTGTGGTCTTATTAAGGCTTTATAGAGTCGTATTAGTACCTCCCTTGATCTTGATTGTATCCCTCTGTTAATACAACTTAGGAATGCATTAGCTTTTTTGGCTGCTGCTGCACAATGCTGGCTCATATTTAGCTGGTTGTCCACTAAGACTCCAAGATCCCTCTCACAGTTACTGCTATTGAGCCTGGTTTCACCCAGCCTATATGTGTACTTTTGGTTTTTCTTGCCTAAGTGTAGGACTTTACTTTTCCCTATATTGAATTTCATTTTATTAGATATGGCCCAGGGTTCTAGTCTGTCAAGATCTATCTGGATCTTGAGCCTATCTTCTTGGGTGTTGGCGATTTCTGCCAGCTTAGTATCATCTGCAAATTTGGTAAGTTCCCCTTCTATTCCCTCAACTAAGTCATTAATGAAGATATTGAGGAGTACTGGGCCTAAGATGGAACCTTGTGGCACCCCACTGCTTACTTCCCTCCATGTAGACTTAGACCCATTAAGGACTACTCGTTGAGTACGGTTTGCCAGCCAGTTGTGAATCCATCTAGTGGTGATGCTATCTATCCCACTTTTTTCTAGCTTACTAAGAAGTGGGTTGTGGTCTATTTTGTCAAATGCCTTGCTGAAATCTAAATATGCCCACAGTATTTTGCTGGTCTACTAATTTAGTCACTGTGTTGAAGAATGAAATAAGATTGGTTTGGCATGATCTGTTTTTAACAAACCCGTGCTGACTGCTAGTTATTACTTTACTTGTTTCTAGATGTTGGCAAATCTGTGTTTTTATTATCTTTTCCAGTATCTTCCCAGGTATTGATGTTAGCCTGATTGGTCTATAGTTTCCTGGGTCTATTTTTTTTCCTTTTTTGAAGATGGGAACCACATCAGCTCTTTTCCAGTCCTCTGGTAGTTCCCCGGTGCTCCAGGATTTTTGAAAGATATGGTGCAGTGGTTCTGAGATGACCTCTGCCAGCTCCCTTAAAATGCTAGTGACCCTGTGACATATTCAGTTGCAGCACTCAAACTCCCTAACGTTTTCTTCAAAACCCTGAAAGTTTTGGTTGGGAAACATCTAGAGGTCATTGAATTGCCAATCTTGGATTTACGCAACCTTGAGAACACGAGGTTGTCTTTGCCCGAGATGTGGCTATGAATGTGTTCTCAAAAGTTGACTCAGTCAGGAGAAAGAAGGCCTTAAGGCCTTAAAGAACTCTATTTGATTGAATTTGCTTATAAATGCAGTCCAAATTAAATTCTATTCAGTAATTCAGTAGAGTTGACATGGTTATTCCTGACATAATTAATGAAGTCCCTTCTGGCATTTTCAGATGATAATTGGGTGGTAATATTTCAAATGAACTAAGTAGCTATGCCATGAGCTTTGATTTAACCAGATCTAGTAAAAATAAATAAATAAATAAATCCGGGTATATGAGCAGCTTGTTTGAAGGCCTGGAGTCCTTGGCTGACTAGTTTTCTAAAAACACCATCAATTGCGGGGATGACAGCTAAATATACCATTATATAAACTATACATGTTCCGTTGCAAAAGAAAATGTTTTCCCTAGAGCCTTGTAATTAAATGGCCCCATTCTCCTAACACAAGGGCTATTTTTCAGTGTAAACTTTAAATCAATGTATTTTTTCCCGCTAAAGGGATACATAATGATATTCTTATTCCAGCATCAACTGGGTTTTATTCCCTGAAATTGGGGGGAGATGGGAACATACCTCTGAGTTCAGGAGGCAATGGAACAGAAAGATGAAAAAACCCTGAAACGATAAAATCAAATTATTATTTTTTTTTAAAAAAAAAAAAGCAAAGAAAGTCAGAAAGGACATTTGGAGCTACTACAGTTAAGGGAGGAGATTTGTGGTGTACGAAAGTTTTTGGAGGTCTGTGACCTTGCTGACAATTGTTGACTAAGAAAAGTGTACAAGTAGTCCTCAACTTACGAGCACAATTGAGCCAGCATATGCCAAAGGCGCATGGAGGGCTGTTACCTTCCCACAGAAGGGGTACCTATTTATCTACTCTCATTTGCATACTTTCAAACTGCTGGGTGGGCAGGAGCTGGAGGGAGAAATGGGGAGTTTACCTCCGTTGCACGGAGTTTGGGTCTTGAACCCGAGCTGGCAGCTGACAAACTCAGTGTCTTTAACTGCTGAGCCATCCCATCCCTGACTGTTGTTGTAGGTGACTCAGTGGTGGGATTTCAACTAATTTAATAAATTATTGAGAAGAGGGAAAGCGACTTTCTCCTTCCGTCGTACTGGCTACTCTGCTGCCCATTTCTCCATTGCACTGCAGTGCACGCTTAGATAGCGTGTGTGTGTGTTAATGTCAGCTGGTGCTCCATTCGAAATCCAAGAAAGAAAAACTTAGACTCGTTTAATTCGAGAAAAGATATCTTTTACTGGAAGTCAAGTGGTAGCAACAAAAGAATTCTGAATCTGAGGAAATTGGCGCGTAAATCACATATACAAAGTAATGGCAATGTTCCCACCCCCCAATAGTTCAAATGGTTCTTCCAATTAAAAGTTGTGGATGTCATCATCTGGACACCTTCAAGTGGTGATGTGGCTTCTGCCCGTTGACCTTGGCATACTTTGATAAAGGTTTGCAGCTGCGCAGAGAAGAGAAAGCTAAGCAAGAAATAGAAACCTAAGCAAGAATGTCCTCTTCCCCCTCCTCAGTTTATACAGTAGTAGTTTGCAACACCTCCAGCTCACTTCCCATACTTTTTCCCCCTCCTCCCCCCGTTACTTATGACAGCCGAAAGATGCAAATTCAAAGGAAGAAAATCCTGAAGGCTGACAGGTAATTTAACAACTGGTTCACTTGAATCGGTGTGAACCAGCTGAATCCCACTACTGAAGTGATTGCTAAAGATTTGGCAGTTGGTCCACCTGACTAAATGGAACATCTAAGCCATTTTTGTCCCTCAACAATGCCAATGGTTGCATTCAAATATAGCACACATGTGGATTTTATTAAAAGAAGCTTAGTGAGCTGCAGCGGCGCAGTGGTCAGAGGGCAGTACTGCAGGCTACTTCTGTTGCCTGCCGGCTGCCTGCAATTTGGCAGTTCGAATCTCACCAGGCTCAAGGTTGACTCAGCCTTCCAAACAGGTCGGTAAAATGAGGACCCAGATTGTTGGAGGCAAGAGGCCAACTCTCTAAATTGCTTAGAGAAGGCTGGGAAACACCGTAAAGCAGTATAGAAGTCTAAGTACTATTAGGTTATCTTACTGCTTTAAATACAACAAACCTCATTATAGCACCTTGAGAGGTGTGTGGCCATACCTGCAATGAGTTAAATATTGCAAACATGTACTGGAACACCAACGCTCGGTCATTCACTGCCAGGACTCCAAAGATCCACGAACTTCCCAAGATAGGTAGGAGAACAGCAACCGCTTTAGCTGTCAATCTGTAGATACAAAGAATAGATTTGGACCCTTGTTTTCACATGTAGTATTCAGCGGGGGGGCAGGGGGGTTGTTTTAAGCAGAAAAGAGATCACATCAACATTCTCTACATGCTGTGCGTTGCAATGAGTGTAATAAGGCATTGTGGCTAGAGGATGAATAATTTGATTGATTGATATGGTGCATAAGAGAAAACTGGTTCCAGAAGGAGATTGCTAATAACATTTTGTGTAAAATCAGAAGGGAACAAAACATAGCATTATTTATATGGAGGTTCTTTGGCCTTAACAGGCATATAAATTAAATCCAGATCCTTTGAATGGCAGTCACAATCGGACAAGCCTTGCTACATTTTGGAGGTTTCAGTGGAGGTTGCATAATGGATCGGCGAGCAGAAAAATGCTTCAAGAAACTAGTGATTATGGATGTTGTTCATTGTGAAATCTCAAGACTCTTTCTTCTACTCCAAGGAAGGAGAGCTGGGAAGGGCCTTGGTTGATCCTGAAATGGCTCCAAGGTTTCCTGCTTGAGCAAGGGGGTTGGACTAGAACAGGAGTCCCCAATCCCCGGTCCGTGGACCAACACCGGCAGGCAGAATGCCAGAAACTGGGCTGCGGAAACAAGTGAAGCCCCATCCACAGGATGCAGGCAGAACACAAAACCACACCCTCCCCAGTCTGTGGAGAAGCATCTCTCCATGTAACCAGTCAGTGGTACCCAAAAGGTAGAGAGTAGGATAGGATGGGATGGGATGGGATGGGATGGGATAGGATAGGATAGGATAGGATAGGATAGGATAGGATAGGATAGGATAGAAAGGATAGGCTAGGCTAGGCTAGGCTAGGCTAGGCTAGGCTAGGCTAGGATAGGATAGGATAGGATAGGATAGGATAGGATAGGATAGGACACAACAGGACAGAATAGGACAGAATAGAAAAATGAAGCAAAGCGAAGAGATAGAGTTGAGTGGAATGGAGTAGAGTAGAATTACAGAATATAGTATAATATAGAATAGAGTAGAGTAGAGTAGAGTAGAATAGAATAAGGAGTAGAGTAGAGTAGAGTAGAGTAGAGTAGAGTAGAGTGGAATTGAATAGAATAGAATAGAATAGAATAGAATAGAATAGAATAGAATAGAATAGAATAGAATAGAATAGAATAGAATAGATGCGATAGGGAGCCATAGTCGTGCTGCAACCAAGTAAACAACATGTTGTTTTGCTCCTTCTCCTTGGGCTTCTAATAGGAAAACAAGCTGAAATGATGTGCCAAGATGCACAGCTGTTTCTGGAACAGATGAAATCTGTTTCCTCATCTGTATCTAATCCAATAATGCCGATACTCCTTACGGCAAGGTATCTAATCCAATAAGGTTGAGGCTTCTCTTCAAGAAATTCCACTGGGGTCTGTTGAAGAGATTTTGAACAAAGTGTTCTAGGTGACCTTCTCATCCACAAGCCATGCTGTTCATAGAGGCTTCATCTCTAAGCCAAGAGCAACGTTTGCTTTTCAACATTTTTGGAGAATACTTTCCAGAGGAACAGAGCAGCCTCTGGAGTTCACAGCCAGAATGAGCATTGACCATGCTATCTGAGCATGGGAGGCTTTGGAAGATCCCTCAAGGGCTGGGCTTGTATGTTTCACCACAAGAAAGTCAGTTTTGTGTGGAGGTTGAAGCAGAAGGCTGGGAGAGTGTGAGTTCTAGTCCTACTTTAGGAACAAAACCAACTGGCTGATCTTAGTGTCAGGATTCTGGCGGTGACCCCCATTTAAATCATGAGTTTCGAGCCAAACTTCCAAAACTTCAAAAGGATTTATTGGGAGTTAACCTGCTGGCACTGCCTGGATGTAGTCGACTCTGAGACACATAATTCACTGTCACCTTTGACCCTGGTTTTTTTCCCCCACCCCTCTGGGTGTATCGTAATTCATATTCTCCAATGGGACACATCCATAGCCCAGAGCCATCAATCATGCTCTCCAGTTAGAATTTTGCATGGCAGAAACTTCAGTCACCTAGTTACTATCTTTGAAAACATTTATGGAATGCAGTTTCGGTTTGCAAGCTGCTGCACTGCTCCCCCCTCCCTTTCTGTTGGCCAGAGAAATATTTTATGAGTTTGACCCTCAGGCCCATCAACCCAAGCAAGAAAAAGTCAAGTCAACCACTTCCCAAATCCTGCCAAGAATACTACAGGGACTTGTCCAGATAGTTGCCAAAACTAGTTCAAAGATACCAAAATAAATCAATTTATCATGAGGCATAGAGCTCCAGAGGCCATCCCATTGACCTTCTCAACTATTGGCCATCGATATTAAAAGATGTCTTCTGGAGCCCTTGCATCTGGATCACCACACATGGCCCACTCCTGTTTTTTTCTTTAAAAAGCTAGAGATGTCCTCTTTGTATTTTAACTGAGATCTGAAGATTTTAAGAAGAATCATCAACTGAGAGGCCAACTGGCCCACATCCTTGAAAGTTATACCTCACCCAGAATCAGCAGACTTTGCAAATCTTTCTAGATCACCCTGTGCTCTTATCCTGGTGAACTAGAAGATTTCAAATAACTGTCTAGATCATTGTTTGCTCTTATCCTGGAAGCCTTTATATAACTTTTTAGATCAGTCTCTGCTCTTATCCTGGGGAAATGAAAGACTAGGTATCATTCCAGACCATCCTTTGCTCCTATCCTGGAGAACTAGAAGACTTCAGAAAGCTTTCTAGATCATCGTTTGCTCATCCTGGATGCCAGACTCATTGGATTTTTGAAGGATTAGCCATGATGCTTTTTGATCAACAGTCTGACAACCAAGAAAGGCATATTGATATATTCAGTTCAAAGCAGGGAAGTAATCTGTACCGCTTCTCTAATGGAGTCATTTCACAAGGGGGACAGGGATATTAACTGGCTTTAAATCACCCGTCCCTCTTTTTATACACAGGGTGCAATTACTCATCAGCTCCCTGAAAAGTACCCTCTTTAACTGACTGACAAATGATTATGAAACTGGAGCTTATCGTTTGGCTGCGAGCTTCTGGATTAACTGGCTGGGTTCGATTTATGCAATTCTACCGCAGCAAATATGTGTGTATGTGTGTGTGTGTATACATACATACATACATACATACATACATATTCAGTGTGATGAACTGTATCACACAGATGAACACAACACAGAAGCCTGATGATGGCAGATGAGATTCTCCCGAAATGTTGCTAAAACCTTAAAAGCACAACTACAATGACGTGGGAAAATACCCGAACAAATGCCATACATGTAAGTATCCGCGCAAACTTAAGAAAACAAATATATATATATATATATATATATATATATATATATATATTCACTCTGAAATATATTCACTCTGAGAAGCACAGAGCCAAAGACACAAGCCTGAAGATGATAAATGAGACTTCATTGAAACGTTGCCTAGATACTGCCAATCTTACGCGGGAGAAAACCCGAATAACCAAATATATATATATATGTGTGTGTGTGTGTGTGTGTGTGTGTGTGTGTGTGTGTGTGT